CACACCAACTAATTTTTTAATCTACTTAAATATATGTTTAAAAAAAAAAAAAAAAAAGTCGAATGGCAAACCATCAAAACAGTACATTAGCATACCAACTAATTTTTTAATCTACTTACCGCGTGCTTTTGAGTAACATATTGCTACAAAAAAGAAATTATAGCTGAAAGTGCAAATATTTGGAGTGAACATTGAACATGACCGTTGACCAGTGAAAATAATAAAATAGCGTACTCCCCCTTCGATTTAAATGAAAATCAGATTTTTAATAGATTCTAATCAAAACTCGCTTGGTTTGTTTTGACGGATGTCTTATTGAACTTTATTAAATTCAGTGATGCATTCTAATTAGATTGGATGGATTTCACGGACACGTCCTTATCCTCAAAATATTACAGTTAAATCTCGATAAAGTAATGTTCGATAAAGTAATAATCTCGATTATATAATAATTTCTTTCGATCCCGACTTAGGCCAATGGACTAAAGTAATAATCTCGCTAAATGCATTAAGTAATAAAAAAAAATTGAATCCTTAAGGGCCCAATAAAAATGTAAAGTAATAATTACTGGATTTCATTGAGAAAAAAATAATATATATATAGATCAAAATCTTTCAATCAATCAACAATACCCGTACAATAATTATTCCTTTTGAAAATATGCATCTATAGTTGATTGTTTTTTCTTCCCATCTAAACCAAAATGAACCTCATCCTTAACTTTTTGTAAAGCATACACAACTTCCGGAATATTTTGCTCGTGTTGTAGCAAGTAGTTGCTTAAGGTGACTATTGCTTGAAATGCCTCTTTTGACGACACATTTGGGACAACACTATTATCAGCTGGTTCAGGATCATTCTCATCATCATTACTGTTCATTACCGATTGAATAATTTTTTCATCTGTAGGTGATTCCATAATTGCATCATTCTTGCTAGGATAGTTCAAAAGACGTTCAACATCCATCACATTTCTATAGTGTAAATTAGAGATGACATCATTTAATCCTTGGATACCTTCATCTAATTCACCAACTTCTGGTTCGGGAACATTGTTTTCTTCTGACCGAATCTTGCAATGCCGAAAACAATTTGCAATTGTTGTTGTCTTCATATCAAAATTCCAAGCCATGTTAACAAAATTAATAACATTCAAAATATTAATTTTTTCAGGATTTGGTGCTTCAACCTCAAGGCCTTGTAAGATGCTAGAATAAAAACGATGACGATAATGAGCTTTGAATGCTCGAATAATCCCAGCATCATATGGTTGAGTCTTAGACGTTGTGTTAGGAGAAAAGAAAAATAACTCTACATTTCTCAAGCCTTCAACTACGTTTGGATGAGTTGGGCAATTGTCTACTATTAAGAGAACCTTCCTGCCATTCATTCTCTTATCAAACCAACCAACAAAATCTTGAAAAAGCAAGCCAGTCATCCAAACTTTCTTGTTGGATCGATACTTACAATTAAGATTGTTCATATTCACATTTTTAAAGCATCTAGGATTTGCATAATTACCAATAACCCAAAGTGGTACTTTGTCAGATCCATCACCATTGCAACAAACAACAACAGTAATTCTCTCCTTATCTTTTTTGCGTCCTTCGAGCTGCTTGGTAGCAAGTGAATGATCAGCTTCCAATCGGTAAAATAATCCAGTTTCATCCATATTGTAAATATCCTTCAACTGAAATTGGTCTAGTTTTGATCGTATTCCAGGTAAAGCATTTTCAATGTTCTCCATGATAACTGAACCACTTTCACCAGAACGTCGGTAAAATTTGATTCCATATCTTACCTTGAAACGTTCTAACCATCCACTAGAAAAGTTGAATTCCGGATTAGTTTCACCATACATTTTTTGCAAAAGCTCATTTGCTTTTCCTTGGATAATTTCTCCAGACATGTTCACTTTATTTTACCTTTGAAGAAACCACTCATACAAAACTTTCGCTAAATCAGGGTATTTTACCGATTTGTGCCTTTTAACATCGCTATTTTCATCTTATTTGACAAATATTCCAACGCCCTTTTGAGAGTGTTCGATATTGTTGGTTGACTAATAGTCAAATCAAACTTTTGTTGAACCCATGCTTGCATATCTTTTTGGCTAATAGTTGGATTCTCTTTCTTATGCTCACATATTGCACTCCTCATTTTATCGGTTAAAGTTGATTTTTTTACTCCTTTCAAATGATTAAAAGACATTGGAGGGGAAACAAAATATTGTATGTGCTTGGAATTATGTCTTCCAAACATCTAACTTTTATAGGTAAAGACTAAATATTTTCATTTGCTATGTACGTGAACTTAGTTTTTAGAGACATTAAGTTTCACTAAAACTTTTGAGCTTCCCTAGATTCAAATAATACTTTGATTAATGTCTTTTGATTATTCTTACCACATACAATGTACATATTTTATATTGAAAAGCTCTCTCTAAAATAATAAATATTTATTTATCGATAAATGAATAATTCATTTATCGATATAAATAACCTCGCTAAATGAATTTTTTTTCCGGTCTCGAGGGTATTACTTTATCGAGGTTTAACTGTATGTCATAATTTTGAGAATTTTTTGTTTTACCTCTAGTGGGGATAAAAGTGAATTATCTTTAATAATGTTCCTTTTGACCGACTAAAGTTGGTCTTCCACAAAGTCAATTTTATTTTCCTCAAAAATAAATTTCATTCGATACCCTCCTTTAAGAGATTTTTTCAAACCTTAAATGACTTGAAATTTTTTTAGATAATTTCAAGATTATCAACCGTTTGCCACCATTTGTAATGAGAGGCTCGATAAGAGATGAAAAGTCATTCGGGTCCATATCCACTTTAGAAGTTGACTTTCACATTACAAGAGATTGAACACTGAAAAGAAAATTATAAGAACTTTTGTGTGAAAGCCAGCCAGCTTAGTATTATTCCAAGTGTACTTATTAAGATGATTCTAGTACAATAAAGGCTTTGTTATAATTCCAATAATTATAGAGCAAATAATACTTATTTTCTTTTGTTATTTTAATAACAATGGTTCGATTCACATTTGGAATTTAATCCTAGTCTTAAAGATTAATCATTCTTTGAAAATGGCTTTACTAATTCCATTTTTCTTTTTGTCTGTATCATTATAGACGAATTCAGTAGGGCCTATTGGGTTAAGATCTCCTTAAATAATTGTCTGGTAAATATGTGCTTGCAATGTCAAACGGCTGGGTCTAAATTTAGATTCCGTCATTTAGTAGCAATACTACTATCGATTCCTTTTCATAAGTTTTCCGGTAATTATTTCCTTAATTAGTGCTCCTTTAAAAGTTTTATCCTTATTTAAGGATTTTGACTTGGGATGAATTGTCGATACCTGACTTAAAGGTATTTATGGAATTTAAGGAGATTTGATTATGTCTCCTCCTCTCTCTTCCCCAACCTCAAGAAGATCTACTGTAGATTGTCCATGCGAAAATTTTATTGTTAATTAATCTGGTAAAGAAGGTGAGGGTAGAGTGAACTAGTAAAGCTTGTGTATATCTTTGGATGGGGTGTGCTTGGAGGTCCTGTCATGGCTAAAAGTTGGTCTTTTTGAATTGACAAAAACGTATCTGAAATTTGCATAAATTTACAGTAACCAATGCCAATGCCGAAAAAGACATTTGGTTGTGAAACGAGTACATCACCTAGATATTTACTTGAATCGCTCTTAAAAAATCTACCGAGTGTTAAAAATAATAAGAATGTTATGATGAC